TCTAAGGTTGAACCCAAAATCGTCAATACAGATCTTGATCATTCTGATTGATTTCAAGCGATGCAAGACGAACTCAATGAGTTTCAGTGAAACAAGGTTTGGATATTAATTCCAACTCCACCAGATGCATCAGTTTTTGGTTTAAAATGGGTGTTTCACAACAAGGTGGATAAAGAAGGAATTGTGATAAGAAATAAAGAGAGACTAGTAGTTAAGGGATACTATCAGGAAGACGTAATCGAATATGAAGAAACCTTTGATCCTGTTGCAAGGTTAGAATCTGTTCGCATCTTTCTGGCATATGCAGCACACAAGAATTTTGAGGTGTTTCAAATGGAATTCAAGTGTGTTGTCCTGAATAGAGAACTGGAAGAGACTGTATATGTCGAGAAACCACCGGGTTTCGTGAATGAGAATTTTCCAAATCACTGCTACATTTTGGATAAAGCCGTCTATGGTCTAAAGCAAGCGCCAAGAGCATGGTATGAAACCCTAACTCGCTTTCTTAAAATGTCGAAATTCAAACAAGGTTCAGTTGACCCAACCTTCTTTCATAAGAAAGACGGTGACCATCTAATGATCGTCCAAATTTATGTTGACGACATCATATTTAGTTCTACAAATCCTAGCTTAACAACTGAGTTTCGCAAGTTGATGGAGACTAAATTTTAGATGAGTTCACTGGGTCCAATTAACTTTTTCCTTAGGCTGAATATTAGACAGGGACCAAAAGGCATTTTTATAAATCAAGAAGCCTACACCAAAACCTTACTGACGAAGTTTTGCATGATAGGAGACTCAAGAGTGAAAGTTCCAATGGAATTTGGAACAAAACCAACACCATCTCTGGATAAACCAGCTGCTGATATGACCCTGTATCGTCAGATGATGGGGTCATTGATGTATTTAACAGCTAGTAGATCGGACATTATGTTTTCCGTTTGTTATTGTGCCAGGTTCCAAGAAAATCCAAGCGAACCTCACATGGTGGCAATCAAGAAAATCTTCAGATACCTGAAACGAACCTCTTCTCTTGGCATATGGTATCCAACGAAATCAAGGTTTTTCTATCAATCATTCTCAGATGCTGACCTTGGAGGATGTGGTTTAGATAGAAAAAGCACTACTGGTGGGTGTCAATTTCTCGATGGCAAACTCGTCAGTTGGCAGTCCAAGGAACAAACATGTGTATCCTTGTCCACAGTCGAAGCTGAGTATATAGCTGTTGCATCTTGTGCCTCACAGGTAATTTGGATTCAAAGTCAATTAAAAGACTATGGCCTGAACATGAAACGAATCCCTCTATACTGTGATTTCGAAAGGGATATTCGCATTTGTCACAATCCAGTGCAACACTCAAAGACAAAATACATTGCACTGTGGTACCACTTCATCAAGGATCATGTAGAACATGACAATGTTGAAATACACTTCGTACGATCCACTAATCAACTAGCTGACATATTCACGAAAGACTTGCCTGAAGCATCATTTAATAGAATACTCAAAGTCTTAGGAATGATGGAAGCTGAATCTGTTCAGAAACCATCTTCACTTCCATGAGAATCACCTTCATTTTGGCCTTGTAAGCATTTGTAAAGCGAAATAAGGCGAACGCTTGCTCTATTTCGTTTCCATTTAACTCGAGACACGAAATGGACCGAACTCTCGCTCCAATTCGCTTCACTCATTCTCTATAAGTGAATGCTCAGTTGTTTAATCAACTTTCTTGTTTGTTTGGAACTTCTGTATCCTCTTTGTACATTATGTATATTATTTTGTTTAAGCATGTCTTAAATTTCTATTTCTTTTTCAGAAAAACCAAAATCCAAAAATATTTTACTTTTCTTTCTGCTTTTTTTTTAATTCTTTTTCAACAAAATAAAAATAACAAAAATATTTTTCTTTGTGTTTATTTTTATTTCTTTTTCAAAAATTTTAAATGCTAGAAATAGATAATAGCGAAACTCATGACATCACATATCCAGAATTACTATAATTTGCTTGATGGGGCAGGTATAAACTTCATTATCTTTGTATTAGCTAAGTGTCCCTAGAAGCATGTTGTTGTATGTTGTCCGAAACCTCACTCGACTCTATGTGAAGCATTAATGAATCGAATCTATCATTCGTTTCTTCCCAATTAGGCTGCTAAATTCACATTAGTCATGAGCTACCTGACTCTTCTCATAATGAGTTAAGAGTTATCTGCTTAGTCACTCTAACACAGCAAAGGCGCATTTGCTTTCTCTTGAACCACCTCACAATTTCTCCATTAATTTCGTTTTCATCAATGTAACCCTTGAGACTCTCAGCATTTACCACTGAGGTTTACGGTTACACAACATATTTTTTGATTATCTTAGTTTCGTTTCACCAAGTGCTAAGTGAGACCCACAATCCAACACCATAATGAATTGACAATGAACCATTGAAAGTTCAAGCTTTTCAACCACGAATTAACGAAAGCCACTTTCATGGTTTGTACCACGAAATATCTCTTTTTGCGAGATCTTTATGGAATGTTCTGAAACTAAGACATTTCTTCCCAAAAGATCCAATTTTGTTTTGTTTTTGAGATTTCTATTATATTCAGAGTTACTACCAAATATCCTAACCTACATGATGTTTTAGGCTACACCGGCCACACAAGTACTTCACCCAACTTTCGAACTTATGTCAAGTTTCGTAGTTTGGTTGAAATGAAAGCCACCCTTACAGCCGAAATTAAAAGATGCCTTTCAATGTTTCTTAACAAACAATTGATAGTACTTCAACGGGAAACTACAGAAGCACTTCTTAGTCTCTCTTGAATTTGAAGGAAGTGATTCGTGCCCGGGATCCACAGTTTTGTGTCTCTAATGACATTACTTAAATCCCACTAATATAACTTGATTTATTTCTTTTTCTTTGGCATACTCTTGCATTAAAATCTCTTGATTTTCTTAAAGTCTTGTTCGCAGCACTACTGGCATTTTCAGTTTCGCATATATTTTCTTGTTCGCTTCAATACGTTTTATTCAAAGCGAAAGGGTATATGGTGTCCCTATAATCATGTTGTCTGAAAAACTTTTTAGGATAATAATTCAAACCAAAAGGCGCGTGAAATTTGAAACGTCCCTATCATCACGCCATCTAACAAAATTTTAGGAGAATCAGTTGTCAATTGCACTTTTTCAGGCGCCGTTTCACAGAAAATCACGCAATCGTCATCACGATTTTTCTTTCTCCTGGGTAATCGTATAAAGGGTTTTTCACGCAGCCCTTATTCTTCTTTACCACTCATAAAAAAACTCTCAAGCATTCAAAAGGCGATTACTCTCTTACTATTCATCTTCTCCAAGAACCTACAACTAAGGCCGACTCTTCATTTGTTCAAGAACAAACCGCTCAATCCTCTTTTCTCACTATCAAGCCAAATCAAAATCTAATCTTGGATTTAGCACTGTGCAAATATGATTCATACTTGGTACCCATCGTGGAACGTCTCAAATACTCACCGCTTGTCACTGCCCTAACCAAGGTTGAGATAGTTCCAATGTCTCTGTTGTCAATGGCTTATTCATTTGCAATCTACCTGAAGGACGAGGAAAAGATTATCTTCGAGATTTTAAACAAGAAAACTTCGATCACAAAGGCTCGATTCTGCTCTCTTCTAGGGTAGCCTACGATGACTCCATGATAAACCCAGATTCCATCTCTATTGCTCAAATCTTCGAGATGTTCTATCACATGGGGTATACTGAAATTCTCACCACAATTACCAAGTTCAAGAAATCCTTTCTCCCACCACAATGGAATGGTTTGTTCATTTTACTTTTCAAATCTATTTTAGAGAGAGTTGTTGGATCGGACTGTGCTAGCAAATTGTTTATGACAATCCTTTACGGTCTCTACCGTGGGATTAATCTTGATTATGGCTCGGTGTTGTGAGCTCAGTTACTGCAGAGCATGAATTCATCTTCTAGACACACTGAAATTTCTTGTGGTTGTTTTTGGACCTTGGTGGTACACAGGTCCCTTCAGAAGCTTAATGTTCAAATCATGGCAGATTCTTTGATGGTTTCGATCACCACATTCCACACAACGAAGATTATTATTGCAGACAACTCTAAATTTTCCTTCATAGGATTAATTCTTGAGTCAATGTATCGAAGTGTGTCTGGGGCGAGTAAAATTTTGAAGTCCTACAAGATGAAACCAGTTTCGGGTCCAAGAGTGATAACTCCTGAAATGCAAAAGTTGTTGGACGAAGCTGATACTCAAAAAAAGGAGGTAAAAAGGGAGATAAAGTGAAAAAGGGAAAGAAAGGTCCATCTTCTTAAGCCCTTACTCCTAAGAAGCGAAAGGGTACAGGTGTTGAACCTTCGGCTCCCAAGAAGAGAAAGCTCAAGAAGATGTCAATGCTTCAACCTTATTCCCCAAGCGACAGTGATTACATTCCTTCTGATAAGGAGGTTGTCGAGAAAAGCGAAAGTGAAGACTCTCAAACTGATGACTCGCTCCAAGGTCATTCCCCTCTACCATCACCGAACCAAGAGGTAAATCTTGATGCTCAAATTACCTCTCAAACTCCTTCTCCTACTCATACTACTACTCTGGTTACTATCGCTCCATGTCCACCTCCAGTTTCTATCAAACCACCCACATCTACTCCACAGCAAAACCCAATTTTTTCTGAATCCACTACTACCACCTCCACAACCGGACCTATTGTTGATGTCAACACATCTGATGTGGGGGCAAAAACATCATGTTTTACCACTTCTACTACAACTCCCGTTTCTCTTCAACACCATGGTTCAGAAGACTTTCTTGGGGCAGAGGGATTTGATTTTGATACATTTCATTACAATCCTTTATCCATTCAAGAAAATAGTGACGAAGATTCCCCTATCACTCAGAAAGAGTTGAAAGCCCTAAACATGAAACTAGATACTATCCTTGCTTCTTCCATTGCTTCTTCTAGCTAAGCTTATTCTGAAGCCGCTGTAAAGGGTATGCTTGATACTTTGCTTAAGGAACATGTTGCCAATCTTGCTAAAGCCAACAAAGCAGTTGAAGATTCTGCTCAATCTTGTATGCAAGAGACCGAAAACGTCGATAAACTAATCTCTGACACGAAAACATTTATAACAGAGATCAACACAGTTGCAGCGAAAAATGCTTCAAATGCAAATGATGCAATCGTCAATCTAAATGATTCGCTTCGTAAAGAACGAGAGTCTATTGAGAAGCTTTGGGCTGATATTTCAACTGAAAACTCTACTTTTCAAACATCTATCTCTTCAAGCCTTTCTAAATTTCAAGAAGATTTAGCTGTTGAAAGCAAAGTCATGGACAAACTTGCACTTCGCACCACTTAACTGAAGATACAATCAGTTAAGCTCAAGCATGCACAAAAGGAGATAGACAAAGTCAAATATGAGCGAACAATTATAGAAAGCTGTGTGAGTGATGTCAACTCGTTGTTATCCAACCTCCTTGAATCTCATGACCCAACCTTGACCATCACCATTAGACGGCACCTAGCTGACATGCTTCGCCGTCCCATCGCTCTGTTAAACTGGATAGAGGGTGTTCCAGATGCCCCTGTCCCTCCAGAACAAGGGGGAGATGGTAAATGCTAAGGCATGGGAGAAAACAAAGACTGGTAAAGGAAAGCAACCAATGGGTGATGATGAAGAAGATGATGAATCTGAAGAAGATCAGTTAAAAAGAAAGGCTCGTGATCTAGAACTGAATGAAAATGATCGCATAACGAGGGAAGCTGAAGAGAAAGAGTGAAAGGAGAAAGAAACCCACGACACATTGGAATGCAGAAAACTATTGTTTCCTCTGTGGACGTTGGAACAGATGATGCACGAAGCTGTTGATCTTCCTAGTGTGCACTGGTTGGAACCGGTTTCTTCGTTTGATCTAGATAACATGAAGGACTCCCTGTTCGATATGCCGATTACAAGAAGAGCCTTCGTGTTTCACTGATTTGACACAATAGTTGAACTTCCCTCTCCATATACCAAAGTAGATAAAGCCCTTATTGATTTTTATCTCACTTTTGGTAAACCAAAATACTTAACGTGGAGTGCCCAGAAAATCACAATAGTCAAAGTCACCGGGCCCATTGCTACTGGCGGTTTCATGAAGGTCAAATTCAAAGTGACGAGGGCTTCATAAAATTCTCTGCATGAATTCTCACTTGCAAATCTGTCGAATCTCAACCCTCACAACTGGATTTTATTGCTTAATCTTCTGCTTACCGAAGGACAAAAATACGAACCATTCTTGCTCATCTGAAGAGAATGTTGGTTTTGTACATCTATAAAGTGGCGAAACTCAATATTGAGATTGCCAAGGTTATGAATCGAGAGCCTACTATTAATCCAATCAGCAAAGCCAACGACGTGAGCGAAATGAGTATGGGAAAAATGACATGGCTCACTTAACTGTGATGTTTCATTGAGAGACTGAAGTTGATGGAACTTTTCAGAAATGTCTTTTTGCCTTACCTGACAAGCATCTATTTTCCACGACTTGTCTGGAACATGTTTTGGAGATTATCAACAAGTGCTACTTGAATGATGATGATGCGAAGAGGCATTTTAATGACATGATTTGCTGGTACATCCTGTTTCTCAGGAATTTGCTTGATGTGATTCCCAAACTCTTCAAGACCATCAAGAAGACACAACAGTTAAACATCTCTCGCCTCAATTAACGCAAAGGGGGAGACTGTTGGGAATATTGGATTGCGTCATTGGGCTATTTTGTATATGTCCATTATGTACACGGTTTGGGCCTGTGCTACCGTATCTACTATTAGGGTTATAGTATTTATAGTGCATACATGCACCGTAGTTGGTAACTATTGATTGATCTTTTCTTTGTAAGCCTAGCACACCTCTACAGTAGCAATTCTTCATAGAGTTCTTCTGAGGTGGTGTCTTTTAATCATTCGACACAAGTTGATACATCCTGTGTTCTTGTTTTCATATCGTGCTATTAATTTACTTGTTAGAATCTAATCGACCTAAGAGGATTTCATTCCTAATAGATTGGTGTCTAAGGGGTTGTTTTTGTATATGGCGTGAGTAGAGCCGGTTGCAGGAGCAAAGACGTTTAATTATTTCACCCGAAATTTGATGTGAGTTTTCCTCCAGTAGGAACGGGTCGAAGGCACCAATTCCAGCCTGTTTATGTATGTTAGTATGTTCCGAACTAAGGTCTGATGTCGGGCGGTGCTCGAGGAATGTTTGTATGTTTGACGTCTTCGTGATTCTTGCATGTGCTTGTTTTATATGTTTTTGGACTTCGTTCCGATGCCGGGGAAAGCCCGAGGAATGTTTGTATGATTCTAGATTTCAATCCGATGTCGGGTGAGGCCCGAAGAATGCTTATATGTATGTTTTCCGAACTACGGTTCGATGTCGGGTGGTACCCGATGAAGGAATGCATGTTTAGTTATACTTGTTTTCTTTGTGATACCTGTATGTGTGCCTGGTAGGGAGATGAGTGTGGGCGGGGTCCCGTATCTCATCACTAGCTGAGAGTGGAGGGGTTCCATATCTCATCATTAGCAGAGTAGGGGCGGGGCCCGTGTAGGCGAGGCCTTAGAAGTTGAGTATATAGTATTATGTATGATTCCTTATGTAGTAGCATGATTATGTATTACTGTTTGTATAAGTATAGCGGGGGGGGGGGGGGGAGACAGACGAGGCCAGAAAGAAATAGATTTGTATACAGAGAGGGGCATGATGCCCGACAGGGCCTGATGTCGGACACTGTCTGATGTTGGGCGGGGCCCGAGGAAGGGGTGGGGGCCCTTTCTATGTGATTATGTGTATGGTATGTGGTAGTTTGAGAAGACTACGAAGCTTCGTGCTTATAGTTTTCAGTTTTAGTTTTAGGTACTTCTGGTAACAAGGGGAAGAGTTTGGGATGACTGCAATGCACATACCATTTGTTTAGCCTGGGATGTTTTACTCTGATATATTGACATGTGTTTTGATATGATACTCTGATTTGATATTGGCACACCCCCAAACCGGAGCGGCGGAAACGTCCAAGGGCGGATGACATCATTTTATAGTGTCATAACAGTTAATATAAATGAAACATAGCAACCCAAATATCATACATTAAGAATACAAGTTTAATATTTTTTACATCTATTGTTTGTTCAAAAGCAAATATCATATAACTGATAGATGGTAAACATGTTGCAACATCTCCGGCTCTCAAATGAGTCGGGTACCTGTTTACTAGTTCCCTGAGAATACAAGTGATTTTGAAAACGTAAACAATGAATGTTGGTGAGTTCATAAGCTTTTTTGTATGAAAAATGTTTGTAACTGCTTTGTTTAAAAATGTTTTTGTATGCTTCCAGAAAATCCGATATTTTCTATAATGTGAACCGTGCTCTTAAACCTTAAGAACAAAAATAATGTACTAAAAAATAGTATGTAGTTCTATATTTTTATAAAACCGGTGAAGTGTAAGCTTCCTGTAAACCAAAATAGTATCGTTAATCCCTAAATGAGTTATTATAGACATGCTTAATGTGACTGTTATGCCTAAACAACGTTCTTCAAGTGTCGGAATTAGTATATATTTGTCACGCTAGACTGTCCCGTCTAGCTGTAACAAACAACTCAGGTGTGGGGTTATCAATCTCGTATAGATCTATACACAACTATCTTGCTCTACCTCAAGGAGACTCTGGTTATAATGCAGGACTTAGAGTGTACGTTAGGTAGGTACGGTGAAGAGACTGTATTACTAGAGTATTAACGGATTAACATGAACTACAACTTCCATTTCTTGTATAATGAAATAATCACACTGTTGAAATTTACGACATGTGTTTTATGACACTCAAACTATACCATTTATAGTTTGTGGTGTAATTTTTAGTGTAAACCATTTATATAAACATTATATATAAATATCAAGTTATAATATTGTCTAGTGGTAATATATGTTGTAAAAACATAATATTCTTAGGTTCTAATCCGTCAAACGGTATGACTAAAAATACGACCTTTTTTACTAGAAATTACCAAATTTGTAGTTTTGTACTTTTCACATTTTACCGGTTGATACTTGTATCACAAAATAGTTTATGTATGTCAATTTTACCATTCAAACACATAGGTCATGATTTTTATAAAAAAAAAAACCAAATGATAACTTCATCATTTTTATACAAATATTTATACAAATTGTCGATTTATAAAAGTGAGACATGCAAGTATCCAAGAGTCAAACATATTTGGACTTATATAAACATATGTTTTTGTTATATTTGTGTGTATCAAACCATAAACCCGATTTTTGTGTAAATAAAATGATGATAACCACATATATCATGATTTTTAAATAGTAAGAAAGTAATATTTACTTCTTATACAAGAAAATTTTCCATATTCAAACAATTAAACATAGTGAATGAAATATCCAAAGGATAAACACATTTTGGACTTGTAACACCTTACAAATCATGATTTTTATGTATAAATATATGATGATTTCGACATTTTATGCACTTATAATTCAATAAACAAGTTGATGCATGCAATTATCCATTGGGTAAATGTAATTTGACTTGTATTCCCCCCCCCCCCCCTAAAAGCATGTAAAACTCGAAAAATTGGGGGTATGAAGCTCACCTTAGTTATTTTTGTGTGTGATAGGAACGATGATGAAAAAGATTTCGAGCCTAGGATGGTGGTGATGAACTTGAAGACCTTCTTGGAAAGGTTGGTGTTCTAGGGATCTAACACACGAAAAATGTGTGTAAACATGAAGAACTTGACAACAAAATGTATAAAAACACTTAGAATTCATGAAGGAACTTACCAAAAACTCTTAGAACCGACCTTGAGGTGGTGATACTTGAATAAGGTGACTTTGTTTTGAGAAGGAAGAGAAGTGAGTGAGCAAAATCAAGTAACAAGAGTGGGATAACCCACTATTGGCTAAAATCCTTAAATAGAGAGGGGGAGTGGCCTTGGTTGTTACTTATTCATCATTTGGATGTCTAGTATGGGTACTTGGTGGTTATTTAACTGTCATGCATGGAGACATGATGGTTTGTTGTATGTCTTGCTTGGTTGTTTGATGGGTAATGGGTTGTAAAGCAATGAGGTGTCACATTCATGGTCAACTCTTGGGGCTTGCATCCAAACCGATTTTACTAGCTCAAGAGTGGGTTTTCGGTTCTAGGGTAGCCGAAAACACCCTCCACCCTCAAAGGTTTTTCGGTTTTTGGGATGGGTATGGGTTCTCGGGTTTGGCATGGCCCAATAAAAGGGTATTTGGTCTAGGGTTGTTTGGACCGAGAACTTTTAAGCCAAGGTCCACTTTT